TTCCAGATCTTCTTGAATTCACATTCCATCATCTGCCATGATGAGATTTGAACCCATGTCTCCAGAGCATTATTCTGAGTATCTGGATTACTAGTCCAATAACATCATAGAATGGCATAATCTTCCTTTGGATGGGGTGTTAAGATCATTTTGCACTCATTGTTCAAACCAAGACAGTAGGACAGAATGCTTTGGACATATGCACTAGTGATAAATAATTGTGTCATCGGGTGGTTGAGACCCAAAATTACTCTGATTTTGAGCATATCCTCCTTTGCGCATATCATAGACAAAATAACTGAATGGCCATCTCTGGTTTACTCACACTCATCTTAAGTCATCACTTGTGGAAAGAGCTAAAGAACTGATCAATGAGTAAATGCAATGGTATGTGTTCAACTGATGGATTGAAATCCATCAAGAAAAGTGTTGAAATTGCTTAAGGATGCACATGAATGGCAGAGGCAAGTGAAAAGGTAGGGGGGGATATGGGAAAATAAAAGTGGATATGCATGGAAGTTAAGTGTATGGAAGATAATGTGATGAAGGGAACAGTTAGGTAGAATGGAAGTGGCTGGAAGTGAGGCACAAAGCAGAGTATAAGTGAATCTGTACGCAACTTTCCTGATGTAGTAAGATCATTGGGAGTAGAGTCTACATTGAATTTGTAAGACCAGTTCTGCTGACCTCTTCAGTGAACTACAGCAAATCCCTTCCTGCTATCAAGACCAGGCTTCTTCTTCTGTTGCTGAAAGAGTATCTCCTTCCATATTCTTACTCATCCCAGCTTCACATAAGTGAGGCATCATTGAATAGCAGCTTGGTCACTCACGTTGCCATCTTTTGTTGCAGCTGCAGCTTCTTCAAATTCCATCTTTAGATTGTCCCTGTCATGCTCATCCTCATCCTGCCCAGTGCTCTGCATTGGATGCTAAACCCAGAAGTAAAATGCCAATGAGCTTGTTATGTGTGAAATGCCACTAATGTCACTGAATTTGCAGGTTTGCCACATGACATCAATCATCGCAATACATCTGTAAGTTAATACCAGGACTGTATATCTCTCAATCTTTTGTACACTCCTCCTTCCTGGTAGTCTGCATGAGATCAGGAACTCATCATTTGAACCTGTGAATCCAAATGTTTAGTTTCTGAACCCACTCAGTCTACCAGAAAGGTGCAAAGCTCAAATGAGCTACTTCTCATAGAGATGGCAAATTGAAATCAGATCAAACTACTTGTATGCTTTGTTTACTGTTTAACTCAAACAGAACAAGAACAAACCTGTATTCCAACTCGGCTCTCATTTTCTAGGATTGAGCATAATGGGTGAAGGTAGAGCCAAGGGAATAAATGAATGAATGTTTTAAAAAAAAAATGGCTTTGGTATTTTGCAATTCTTGCAGCTGTTCTTATCTTCAGTATCCTTTACTTCTTCAACTCAATCCTGATGTGGACCTGATCTCTTGTGCCTACTGAACTGATATCAGTTACTATATTACATACTGGCTCAGTTCAGCAGGAACAGGAGTTGGGCCCATAAACTACACTGTTCAGAAGCCTGCATTTATAGCAATCATAGAGAAAGGAAGAAAAAAACCAGCTAGTCCAATAGTATTTCAAGCTTAGTCATGTAGCTAAGCTATTGTTTAAGGTAGTACCTGTTTCTATTGTATTGATGCAATAAACCTTCTATTTTGTGTTTATTAGGAATATTGCAATATAGTGAATAAACAAAATGTTGGTGGAGATAACTGCATTAGGCTTACATTATCCTTTTCAAAATCAAATTCTTAGTATTTTGGAATTTTTTTTGTATTTTGCACCTTAATTAACTCAATTTCAAAGATAGTAACACACATTTGGGAAGACTGCCTTAACTGTGTACATATTTTATAGAATTGTCAATTGAAAAGAATATGGACAAAAATTCTTCTGCCTGATTGCTTGAGAGCTGCTGGTAATTCCCAGCTGCAGGTTTAGCATTCACATGCCTTTGAGGAAGACAGAAAACTTTGATATAGCCATATACTTGCTCTTTGTGTAATCCACTGGAAAGAGGAAATGAAGACTTTTATTAAATTTGATTAAATATTTCAGAGTAAGTTTAAATGTGTGGAGACATTTATAAAAAATTGGATTTTTTTCTAATTGTTACAGACAGGTTATGAATTTTAAAACACCTCTCTCTATTCTGACCACCTGTCTATAAGCAGTTTTTAAAAACTCCTTTATTAAGTAGTGGGACCATATTTCCCCACTCCTCCTTTGAGGATCCTGACTTTATAAGAACTGCAATAACGCCGTTGTATAGTAAATCAGAAGTGGGGTCAATCTCATACATTCTTAAATGCAGGGGGAGGAAGGAATACTTCATAGCACAGGCATGCTTGCAAGCACACCTGAGCAAGAATCAAAAAGGATAAAAATATTAAATTTTCAATATCTTGAGTACAAAGTATTATAATTTCAGCTGGTATTAATACTAGGCAGGTTAGATCTGTGAGATTTGTATTATGCTTCTCCTTACTAACTCATTCATAAACACTGTTTACTATACCGCATTTCCATCCATCCATTCATTCATAAAACCACATGTTTGTAGTACGTTTTACTCTTACAAGATAAACTAAATTAAACATCCTCTCTTAGGCTGCCAACCCATTACCGTTTCTTTACATCTTTCAATTCTTATCAGCCCCATGCTGCAAGCAGTGTTTAGACCTGTTTCTGTATCAAAGGCTACCCCTCAATAAGTGTTAATACTGTAACCTACTCAGAATAATGTCATCCCAGCCATCGTGTCTCCATAAATCACTCAAAACTATGGAAAGATTGTAATATTAATTAACCCTGTGTGACCATCTCTCCGGACCTGAATAGGCTGCAGGACATCAAACAGTTTCCTCAACAAGCATGTCCCTACTGTCTGCTGTTTTTTCATCCCTTTGAAATTTCCTTATACACTACCTATTTCTGTAGCACTGTACTACCTATTTCTAACTTTTATTTAGGACTACTATTTTGTGCTAATGTACAGATTTATACTTTTAAAATACATATTAAATAGGGCCACTTCCCCCTTTAAGAAACTTACTATCAAAATAGAGGTTCCATGAAACTGCATGAACGAATGTGTAAGAACTGTCAAAACCGACAATAGCAAATGAAATCTCACAACCCAGCTGCAGGACATCAGTTTAATATCCTGTATACTTCTATTTAGAACACATATAATTTGACTTATTTAGATCATATAGGTCTAGTGTTACTACCAACATTACTAACCTTAAAGATAAAAGGACTAACGTTATTGCACCTCTTTTTCCAACATTGCATTATAAAAATGTGTCCCTTAGCTGACACTAAGCAACACCACAGCCAGTCTGCTATTTGTTTTCCCACACCAAGACTTCAACATCTACCACCAGGTTTTTGCAGGTATGGCTTGGTCCATTCAATTTTGCCACCAATGTCATACAATACCCATGATTTTATGCTCATTTATTAAACACATGACATATCCCTGTAATGATAAAACATTGTTTTTATTCTCTGTGAGCAATGCCACTAGTGAACAAGTAAAGCCTTGGGGAAATATTGGAGAGTTACAAAATAAGCGACATTACACAAGTGAGTTTCCTGTTGTCAGTGTTGAAATTGAAAATTCTTTCTAACAAACAAAGAAAACAAGTGCAATCAATTTCACTGAAAATAAGTACAACATAAATCATAGTTAGGCTAGGATTTGGAATTATTTATTTAATATTCGGAAAGTGACTTTATTGATTCTAAAGTGCAGATTTTTTTAAAAATTAGTCCTACTAGTGGAAAGCACAACGACCTGAATATATATACTTCTCATATACTTAACTTTATTCATTGTTTAGTCAATAAAATAGTGTTAATTTTTCTCTGTTAAACTTGCAATTTGAAATGAACAATTAGTTTCTGAGTAGGCAGGGAAACAAAAGACAAATTTTCAACAATAAAAGATCTTTAGTTGATTGTTTTTAATCAGTGCTTTTTTGTTGCAATAAAGAGGATAGAATGTCACAGCTGGGAACTAACACCGGGTACTAGGGACTAGTTGAATAATAGAAAAATGAAGGGATTATGCTACAGCTAAAATACTCAAATGACACATTATTACATCATTTATATACTAATGTGTAATAAAGAGACTATAGAAATCAAGCTGCATCAGTTGAGAGTAGATCCTGAATCAAAATAATTTATGATCTTTATTTGTAGCAACAGTCTTAACTACTGTGTATATCTGAAAGTGTAGAACCTTATAATAACAATCTTGTTTGGAAACTGCATTTTCCAACAGCAGGTCAGAATGCAAGGATAAATATACTGAATTTAACAATGAAAATGGACCTTCAAATTCTATTTCCAGATGCCATTTTACATCGGTCACCTGATGCTAATCATGGAACTTCACTGACTTTTGAATTATTACCCCAAAGTTAATTTCCTGAAAAATTGCCTTGAGTGAACTACCCTTCTCAGATTATAATTGCAGCCTGTGGATCTGAACAAAATGCTAAATGAAAGTGGACACTCACTGAAGTGCTATACAAAGAAAGAAATAGATTTCTTGAGTTCAAATGATTTTTCTATTCCAAATGTATTTGTTGGGCAAGAGCTGGTTATATTTTAGCCAATTAATCAGTATACTAGCAATGTATACTTGTTTGGATTGATTGACAGAAGTTCACACCAAAAGTATATTTTTAAAAATTTATTAATAAAATGTGAGTGTCACTGACAACACCAGTATTTATTGGTCATCCATAATACTTTTGATTTGAGGATGATGATGACGATAAGTGCCTTGAACCCCTGCAGTTCAGCTTACGTGAGTGGGGAATTCTAGTATTTTAATCCAGAAACATTGAAGGGCTGGTGATACAAGTCAGGACAGTGTTTGACTTGGAGGGGATCTTGCAGGTGATGGTTTTCCTGAGCCAGTGCTGTCCTTGTCTTTTTAGGTGTTAGAGGTTGCAGTTTGAGGAGATGTTGAAGAAGAATTAACGAATTACTGGAGTGATCTCTGTAGATAATTCATGATTCAGGTACTGTGCATTGGTGGAAGAATGAATGAATGTTTAAGGTTGTGACTGAGTGCTGATCAAATGGGCTGCTTTGTCCTTGATGGTGTCATGTTTCTTGAATGCTGTTAAATTGCACTCGTACAGGCAAGTGGAGACCATTCCATCACAAACCTGACTTATTGGTTGTAGAAGGTGGAAAGACTTGGGGGAGTCAGGATGTGAGTCACTACAGATTTTTTTTTCCTTCTACTAAGAAGGGAGTTCTGGGATTTTGACTCGAAAATGAAGTATGACAATATAATTCTAAGTCTGAATGTTATGTGAACGGGAGGAGAAGCTGCAGGTTTACTGCATGATTATGAAACACAGAAATCTAGCACACAGGTGCAGCAAATAGTCAGTAAGACTAATGAAATGTTGGCCCTTATTTCAAGTGGATTGGAGTATAAGTAGAGAAGTTTTACTGCAACTGTAAACAGTGCTGGTGAGACCACATCTGGAATGTTGAGAGCAATTTTGGTCCCTGTTGAATCTGGTAGTTTTCCATGAGAGTCTGAATCCGGTGGTAGGTTCAGGCAGCCTTTATTGTGACATACACATCAGTTACACCTTCAAATCTTCATAACAAAAAAGTTTCTAAGTCACTTATTTTATACAACTCAAGTTCAAAGTGCACATGCCCCCTTGTATACTATTGGTCAGCAGAGCTGAGTTATCCAACTCTGATTGGATCTTTGGTACAGCATTTTATGTCAGCAATTTGCGTCAGCAATTTCAAAGTATACACACTGTATTCAAGCACATTCCTTCCCAAGCATTTGCCAGTAGCATCATGTTAACTGCCAATTAATTGCATACTTGCCTATCACTTAAAGAGCTTTTAAATTCCCTATTAACTTCATTGTAGGAAATAGAAAAGAATATTGATTTTTATGAATTGTCGTAATATCAGTTCCAACAAAATTATCTGTACAGATTGATTAAATAATTTGAGAGATTCACTAATTAAATGTAATGTGATGTGTTCTTATCTGTGTCTCATGCGTAAACAACTGCAGCTGTGTATTCTATCTCAATTCTGTTACCTTGAGTCTACAGAGAGCTGTGCAGGCAGAATCCTTGTATATATGTAAGACTAAGATAGTCAGATTCTTAATCAGTAGAGGAATTTAGGGTTACGGGGAAAAGGCAGGAAAGTGGACATGAGGAATGTCAGATCGGCAATGATTCTACTGAATGGCAGAGTAGACTCACGGCGCTGAATGGCCTACTCCTGTTCCTGTTTTTTATGATCTTCTGATTTGTTACAGAAGCTGCTGGGTCAGAATCCTGGAATCCTGCTGGAGTAGGATTGGAGCGGGACCAGAAAAGATGGGGTACTGAGACTGGGGCCAGGGGAAGATGGGAAAAGTAAACTAAAACAAAGAACTATGGATGCTGCAGATCTGGAACAAACAAACAATAGAAATGTCTGGAGAAACGCAGCATGTTTGACAGCATCTTTGGAGAGGAAACAAAGTTAACATTTGAGTCTACTGACCTTTGTTCAGAACTTGGGAAAATGGGAAAGGATTTGGGAGGAGTGGAGTCTAAGGTTTGGATTCTGACAGCTGTTTATTTCCACAGCAACTCTCCCATATCCTGGAAAGATGAAGAGATCAAGTTGTGGGGAAAGAACAGTAGGAAGGGCGAGTGGGGTGGAAGGACATCATGAGTAAATGAACGTGGGAGTTCATCAGGGAATGGGAGTGAGGCTGTTATTGAATGGGGGCTGAATGCTGATGGGAGCGCATGAGTGAATGTGTAGGGTGAAAGGAGCTGATTACAGTATGTAGTGAGAGTCCTCCCTGCATTTTCTATTGTCAGAGATTATGGAGAGATTGTAATTATCTGTAGGTTTCAGCCCAATCATAAGTGTTGTTTTTACAAATATTTGTCTGTCAGTTCATAATATGTGATCTTTAACAGTTTACTGTGCTACTTTATTACTATTTTGTTTTTGTTGGCATGTGGAGTCCATATGCTTTAGAATGGATTGAGAAGATGCTTGCCTGTGTGATGTGGGTATTGCTGGCAAAGCCAGTCTTTGTTGCCCATCATTTAATTGTCTTTAAGAGGTGGTGTGGGTTAAGTCAGGATCAGGTTGGGAGTGCTTCACAAAATATTTTCCATAGTCCTTTGTTTCCCTTCGATTATACGTAATCCAGCAAGGTCATGTTCTGTTTGTACTAACTTGATTCTGTAATACAGGCATTAGTGTTGAATGCTAAAATGCTAAAGGCACTATTGACTTTTTACAAATGTATTGATGAAATGGAAGGTAAACAAAGACAAAACTAATGTTTCTATCAATTTGAAGTCTAATAATTCCAATCATGTGGAGTTGACTAAAATCTGTGTTTCATTCTATATCATACAAAGTGCCACAATTAGATGATTCTTTGTCTTAAAGCATTTTCAGACTTTTTTAGGCCTTATTCTCAGAACCTTATGTTTCAATAAAAAAAAAGTGATGGCATGATGATAATGTCATGGGGTTGGCAATCCAGAAGTCCAGACTAACATGCTGGGGACGTTAATTCAAACCCCACCATACCAGCTGGAATTTAAATTCAATTTTATAATCTAGACTATAAACTAGTTTCAGTAGTGATGACCATGAAAATTATTATTAATTGTCATAATAACCTCTGTGCAAAGGAGAAAATATATGAATCGTTTAAGAAGAACAGGCCTCATACTCAGAAGCCAACATCATCTTTGCTTTTATCAAGGACTATGATAGTTGGAAAGCCATGCTCACTGACATTGTAAAACATGGTAGCTGGAAGAATCAGCAAAATTGGATAAAGGCTGGTTTCTAAGAAGGTGATCAGCTTAGGAGACCAAGATCCACATGGTATTTCTGACTGAAATATTTGCAAATGGCTTAATTTTGTCTTTCACATTCTCATATTGAGCTCTACCATTATTGTAGTAAATATTTGTGGAGCTACCCTGGGCATTTTCCATCTTGTGGGCATCCCCAAAGCAACAAAGCCACATTAGACTATGGAGTGCTAACAAACATGAGCACTCTGTCTCTCTCAGGGGAGTCTTGAATTTGTGATGTTGACTGCCAATATATGTTCATAATGCACCATGGACAATGAAGATAGAAATTGTTGAGCTCTTTTTCTTGATAGCTGTAAGCGGTCTGTCTTCCATAGGCATGCAGCAAGATGCTCAGTAAATAGGCTGCACAATATTCTTGGTCCTAAGCTCGACATTATTCCAGACACATTTCATAAATTAGCCGGAGGTGATAGCTGCCTTCTCTATGCATGCATCACGTTCTCCCTCAAGTTGTATGACACTGTGCTATTAGCAGAATTTGCTAACAACTTCCAGTGAAGTGTTTAGTATGATCTGTGGAGGGAGACAACAACTTGTCCCATGACAATGGTTTTCTGGATGCTTGTTATCAAGTTACTGATATGGGAGAAACAGTTTGAATTTTTGTAGCCGAGTTTCCATGTGGGTGACTAGCACAGCCTCATCAACTTAAAGGAGTTTTTTTTTTAACAAATTATGATATATTGTCAAGTTTACCATGAGACCGAGTATAAACGTGGACTACTTCAAGGAAAGGGAAAGATCAGAAACATGGAGAAAGCGATCCCAAAGTAGGGGCCGGGTCACTGCTGCTTTACTCCACTTTTCACTCAAACTATTGACGTGGAGTCATGAAAGTGTGAGTGCAGTGGATGATGTTATGCAACTATGAGACTATGTTGTGAGACTAAGGAATTTTGGTGGTTGGGGGAGTGGAAACAGCCAATTTTCCCCATGATGCTGTAAAGCCTTGTCCTGCGAATGGTGTTGAATGCCTTCATGAGAGTAAAACACAGATATAGCCTGTTTGCTTCTCCTGTAGCACATGTATAGAGGATGTTGTATTCACTGGATCATCTGACATAGAAACCACCCTGTGCTTCCACTTGTGCTCAATGTGCAAACAAATGGAGTCTTTTAAGCATGACCCTAGTAATGGCCTTCCCTGTGGTGCTAATGAGCAAAAAGGTGAAGCTCCGGTCACCTTTGTTATTGTATTTAGCTACATACAGCTACTGAGAAGTCTAATTTCCAGGGAAAAAGTAATGGAGAAACTCAAAGGTATACTGGAGTACATCCCATGACAAATATCCCAAAAATTCAAGAGGGTCAGGGGGCAGAGCTGAGTATGGTGGCCATCATCAAGGAAAAGGTGCTAGTAAAACTGATTGGCCTGAAGGTGGACAAAACACCTGGACCAGATGGACTACACCTCAGAGTTCTAAAGAAGATAGCTGAAGAGATAGTGGAAGTGTTAGTAGTGATCTTTCAGGAATCGCTAGAATCAGGGAGGGTCCCAGAGGACTGGAAAATTGCTAATGTGACACCCCTGTTTAAAAAGGGAGTAAGGCAAAAGATGGAAAATTACAGGCCAATTAGCCTAACCTCAGTTGTGGGTAAGATTTTGGAGTCCATTGTGAAGGATGAGATTTCTGAATATTTGGAAATGTATAGTAAAATAGGGCAAAGTCAGCATGGTTTCATCAAGGGGAGGTCATGCCTGACAAATCTGCGAGAAGTCTTTGAGGAAGTAATGAGCTAATGGATGTTAACTATCTGGACTTCAAGAAAGCCTTTGATAAGGTGCCACACAGGAGGCTGCTGAGTAAGATAAGGGCCCATGGTGTTAGAGGCAAGGTGCTAGCATGGATAGAAGATTGGCTGTCTGGCAGAAAGCAGAGAGTGGGGATAAAAGGGTCTTTCTCAGGATGGTAGCTGGTGACAAGTGGTGTTTCGCAAGGGTCAGTGTTGGGACCACAACTTTTCACCTTATACGTTAATGATCAAGATGAAGGAACTGTGGGCATTCTGGCTAAGTTTGCAGATGATACAAAGATAGGTGGAGGGACAGGTGGTATTGCGGAGGTAGGGAGGCTGCAGAAGGATTTGGACAGTTTAGGAGACTGGGCAAAGAAGTGGCAGATGGAGTATAACGTGGGAAAGTGTGAGGTCATGCACTTTGGTAAGAAGAATAAAAGCAAGGACTATTTTCTAAATGGGGAGAAAATTCAGAAGTCTGAAATGCAAAGAGACTTGGGAGTTCTAGTCCAGGATTCTCTAAAGGTAAACTTGCAGGTGGAGTCAGTAGTCAGGAAGGCAAATGCAATGTTGGCATTTATTTTAAGAGGACTTGAATATAAAAGCAGGGCTGTACTACTGAGGCTTTATAAGGCTCTGGTCAGGCCACATTTGGAGTATTGTGTGCAGTTTTGGGCCCCATATCTAAGGAAGGATGTACTGGCCCTGGAGCGGGTTCAGAGGAGGTTCACGAGAATGGTCCCAGGAATGGAAAGCTTAACCTATGAGGAACGTTTGAGGACTCTGGGCTGTACTCATTGGAGTTTAGAAGGATGAGGGGGGACCTAATTGAAAACTTTCAGAACACTGAATGGCCTGGACAGAGTGGATGTTGGGAAGATGCTTCCATTGGTAGGAGAGTCTAGGACCCGAGGACACAGCCTTAGAGTAAATAGGATACCTTTTAGAACGGAGATAAGGAGAAACTTACTCAGCCAGAGAGTGGTGAATCTATGGAATTCACTGCCACAGAAGGCTGTGGAGGCCAGGTTGTTAAGAACATTTATGACGGAGATAGATAGGTTGTTGATTATCAAGGGTTACAGGGAGAAAGCAGGAGAATGGGGTTGAGGAACTTATCAGCCATGATTGAATGGTGGAGTAGACTTAATGGGCCGAATGGCCTAACTTCTGCTCCTTTGTCTTATGGTCTTACATACACATCAATATCCTGAACAGATCAAGGGGAACAAGTGGATTTGCTGAACTTATTTTCAGGAAGGCATTTGACAAAGTACCACATAAAGAGATACTACACAAAATAAGAGCTCATGAAAAAGGGGGTAACATAATACTGAGAAAAGAGGATTAGTTTGCAATAGGAAACAGAGAATAGACAGAAGGGGGCCATTTTTGGGATGGCAAGATTTCAGATTAGTGCTCAGGCCACGGCTATTTACAATTTATATTTATGCATGAAGATACAAATCTTTGCTCCATTTGCTGTTGACACAAAATGCTGAGAAAGTAAACCGTGAAAAGGACATAAAGAAACTACAAAAGGATATAGACAAATGAGTGAACAAAAATTTGTAAAGTGTAACACAGGAAAATGTGAACTTCTCCATTTAGGCAGGAAGAATAGAAAAGCAGCATAATACTTAACTTTATTATTGATTCATGGGATGTAGGCATCCCCAACTGGCCATAATTTATTGTACATCCCTAATTGCCCTCGAGACGATGGTGATGAGCCAAGATACACTGTGCTGTAAGAAACATTATTTCAGAACCCCCTTCCCCTCCCCCATTTCTGAAGAAGGGTCTAGGCCCGAAACGTCAGCTTTCCTGCTCCTCTGATGCTGCTTGGCCTGCTGTGTTCATCCAGCTCTACACCTTGTTGTCTCGGATTTTCCAGCATCTGCAGTTCCTACTATCTCTGCTTGTCATGGATGGTGTCAAGCTTCTTTAATGTTGCCGGAACTGCAGCCAAGTGGGAAAGCATTGCATCACACTGCTGACTTGGACCTTGTAGAGGTGAGCAGGCATTGGAGAGTGATGAGCTTAGTTACTTGCCACTGAACTTGTAGCCTGACTTAGACTTGTAACCATGGTATTGATGTCCTGGTCACAGTAACACCTAGGATGGTGTTAGTGGGGAAATTCAGCAATGGTAGTATTGATTGTCATTGACTGGCACTTGTATGGCACACATGTTGCTTGCTATTTATCAATCCAAGACTGGATGTTGCCCAGCTCTTGTTGCACTCGGTCAAGGACTGTTTCAGTATCTAAGTCAAAAATAGTACTGAATATTATGCATTCATCAGCAATCATCCCCACTTCTGACCTTGTGTTGAAAGGAATATTTTTGATGAAGCAGCTGATGATGCCCAAAACCCTGAAGAGACCATCAAGTCCTGGCGAATCTGTCATTCTTTCATTTTTATTAGTTTTTGGAATGTCTGCTTTATTATTCAAAAAGTTTGTAATTTCATTTTTATTGTTTGCAGTATTCTTGACTAACCGTTTTCTTATAAATACTTGTAAAAAATACATTAATTGTGATATCCTTGCACATTTCTAGCTACATTCCATTTTGCAGCATTCATTTGCTCTTCCTTTGCTGTCCTCTGTATCTTCTCCAGTCCGCTGGATCATTTATTGTTGTCACACGTACCTAAGTACAGTGAAAAGTTTTGTTTCGCATGCACTACAGGCAGATCATAGCCAATAAGGACATACCGATCACGGTGTTTAGATAGAGTGAGGCATACAAGGTCACACAGGAAGTGCACAAAAGCAAGATCAACATTAGATTTGAAATTAGAGGGGTCCATTCAGTAGTCTAATAACAGCAGGGAAGAAGTTATTGTTGAATTTGTTGGAACATGTGTTTAAGCCTCTGTATCTTCTGTCTGATGGAAGAGAACATAACTGGGGTGGGAGAGGTCTTTGATGATGTTGGCTGCCTTTCCGCTCAGGAAATGGCATCTGCTGTGGACCTGTTGCATCGGCAGGCAAATTGCAAGGCATCAAGGCAGGCTAGGTGGCTAGAGATGATGTGAGCCATGACTAACCTCTTGGAGCATTTCATAATTGTGGTGGTCTTCTTGAAATAGATAGGGACTTCAGATTGTAGCTGATCCACACAGGATCTGAGTGCATAGCGAGGACTCCATCTGGGCCAGTCATTTTCCTCGGGTTCACCTTCAAGAAGCTGATCTGATATCTGCAGCGGTGACTGAGGAAACAGGTGTGTCTGGGCTGTTGGGGCAGGGTGACACCATTCCACTGGCATTCTGCTCGAATTGAACATAAAACCCATTGAGCACATCGGGGAGTGATGCGTTTTTGTTCTGCTTCATTTTGTATCCCATACACTCTTCTGAGAACCTTTGCTATCCCTGTTTTTTGTTGACATTAGCTCTACTTCCTCCTTTAGGCTACATTGTGCTAAATTACTTTTTACACAACTCTGTTTTACACAGTTTAATGGCATCAGTTTCTGTCTTACTCTTTTAAAGTTAGCTGTACCAAAATCTTAAGAGCGTTCTTTCCTTTCAATAACATGGGCTAAAGTGAAACTGCTGAATCATTTTTTTTTTACAGTTTTCTCAACATCCAGTATGTTTGTAACTCACTATGTACGTGGATAATTACCGTTTTCAGTACAGAGGTATACTTGTATTCTTTAAAATCTAGAGTTATAAACAAAATATAACAATAGTGACGCCATTCAGAAAATCAGACTCATTTCTAATCCATTCAAAACCTAATTAAAAATGCATATAAATGCTTAACTGAGTATTGCTTTTCGCCCATGTTGCCCTTAAGCTTACAAGGTAAATGTCAAGCAGCGTAAAATGGCAGTAAAAATATCTGCAGTTTATTCAAGTCAGGCTGTGTCATACAGTAGGAATGTGAAAGCAGATGTCTCCTTTTAAAGAAGCAGAGTTTCAAGAGCTTTCTTTTACATTACTGGTAAAAACAAAAACAAAACTGTTAATATATCTTGCATTCAGTTCCATGAAAAACCACAAAAGGGCTTTGATCAAGAAATAAAATCTTCCATTGATACCAAATTTTCTATTTGTTACATTTCAGAGTTTATGTGCTGTCCCTGGCTCTACACAAAAACCAGCACAATGTTTATGAACAATTTTTTTTCAAAGTGATTCAATAAAATTGTGTATTTATACATATAGTTGGTTGAAAAATCTGAATAAACATATCAAACTGGAAACAGTCAATAATTCAATAAATGTAGTGCATATTTTCAGACTGAGTTTCATGTAATTGCTGTTGCAGGAGTTCAATAGTGCTGTGCACCTTGTCATCTTCTGATGCTCCACATCCTTTGTTCTTTAGTCTGTGTGCAGTAGCAGCCAGCATTTCTGAAATTCCACCAGTGGCAGTTCCAACTAATGTGAACTATGACACAAAGCATTTGAGTGTTGATAGTGAGGAATATACACAAACTCATTAAAATAGAAAAAATCAAAAACAATATTTATACCTTGTTGAAATTTTGTTTTGAATGTTCACTAAGGTAGATATTTGTTGACTTGCCCAAGTGGCCCATGAATGGCTTATGCTGTTCTAAAAGGCAGTTAAGAATCAACCATGTTGCTGTAACTGGGAAAAGGGGAGGAAGTAAATATGGGATAAGTTGAAGAGTTAAAGTATTAATTCCACTGTCTGACTTCTGATTAACTATTTACTTAATTTAATTGGAAATTTCCAAGCATCAGAGGATTGCCCAGTGGAATCTGGGATCCGATACACAAGTCTCTTAAGCTTCAGAAATAATTATCTGGCCTTTAGAAAATCCAGGCCATCATTTCTTTAAAAACTTTTAAAGCTATTGCAGGTTAAATTCTTTGATCCTGCAGCACATTCACATTTCCAACAAATTTGTGTTACACTAAGGAACTAGCAACAGCAGTCAACAGCCTGCAAATTTAAAAATGAAGGCACTTTGAAACATTAAATGTTTTACTCAGATTGGCGATCAGGTCATTAAATTGCATGCTAGTTTATTAATAACTTTGTATTTCAGACTATGCTTGACATTTTCATGGCTGCATGTACATTACAATGTTAATTCATTTCTGATCTATGACATTCTGTGAAAGAACATAGTTCACAAACTTTCATTTGCAGTTTTCTGATTAAGTTCAAAATGAAAATAATATAAAATGCATACTGCATTGCAGCATGGAGTTTTCTGCACACGCTTCATTTGAAACACTGATTTGTGGTTGTTACAGAATCCTCATTTGGTATATATGGAGCATTTAGAGACTGTTTCCTTACAGACTGGCAAAACTGCAAAATAAATTATTACGCACTGATGTAGAACTTTTTACAAACAGTTCTTTTGTGAAAATAAGGATGAAAAGAAGTTTACACTTCTATACTAAAAGGGATCATGATGATGTAGTGCTAATGCCTCTTGAATAAAATGCCATCCTAACTGTGATTATTTATCAACCAGCAATTGTCAAAAAACCCCATCTGTGATTCTTCATTTCCCTAGGAGAGGAAATCTGCCATCCTTAGCTGGTGAGGTATACCTGTGACTCCTAACCTACAGCTATGTGGTTGACTCTTAAGTGCCTAGAGATGGACAATAAATATTGGCCTACCCTGTAACTCAAAATTTTAATCAAAATTTTAAAACTAATTAAATCCAGTAAACTGAAAAGAGTAATTTATCCATAATTAGTCTGTTAGCATAACAAACAACACACAAAGCAACTTCACATACTTACAAGTTGCACAGATTCCTTTGCTATTCTGCGGCCACCAGTTGAAAATAACAAAAAACTCAGAAAGAGATGACTGATTAGGTCTTTGAAGTGACTTTGTTCTTTGTAGAGATTCCCAGTGACTAATGCAGTCTGCACTTCCTCAAAAGTCACAGATGTCTTGTTGATTAGAATCTTTACTTGATTGTACACAGATTTCATGTTTTCCTGTGAGAAGTGTTTAAGAAAATTGATAACTTAATAGTCAATGGAAAAAGGTAATATAATATTATATACATTCTAACAGTGACTAAGTCAAAAGTACTTGATTTGCAGTATTGCACTATAGGCTGTCTTCATTTATTAAAGCACCTTTTACAACTTATATACACAGACACGCCTATGTACATAAACTTATAATGCCTGGAGGGAAAGCTACACTATAACACAGGTAGCATGGAAAATCAAACTATTCTGCTGTGGCTCCACCCTCTTCTAGTTAACCTGGGAAGAGTCTATTCTTTATAATGGAAGGGAAATGGAGACAGTCCCTGAGCAGTTGTGGTCAGCACTTATATTGTAAAGGCAGAAAGCTCCTTCAGCAGTTCACTTAGACACTACAGTCAAGGATTTATAAAATTCTATCACAATACAATTTGACCTGAGCTGATAAAATGTCAGATTACACTCAACCCTTCATCTCAAAGAATATGTTAAATATCAGTACTAATTCTGTTACCACAGCCTTCCAGAAATAAGTATTGTCAGAATGCTGACTTTCCATAAGTGCTATACAGTTTGTATTTCAATGAATAATGTATTTCATTTGAAATAGAATAAATATAAATTAAACAAGAAGTGGCAAGTCTGGTTTTGTTAATATCACCTAATTGGAGATACTGATGGATGATTTAGGATGAAATGTATTCCCTAAAATGTTTTTCTCTACTGTCTGTCCCCTGACCAGCCTTTTAGCTTGCATTATTCCATTCCTTCCCAGCCAAACTGCAACCAACAAATCTTCAGCAAGAGCTTCCCTTTCCATCCACCCATCAATTTCAGGCTCTTTTCAGTAATATTCCCTGTTCCAATTGCTGCCCTCCCAGTGGCATCTTCTGGTCAAAGGATTTGGGTCAATATACATGCCATCTCCACTTCTCAATTTCACAATCCCTTCCATACTGTGGATGACCCACCTAACATCAAGCCATAGCAGAGTCAACACTTTCTTCAGCTGGTAAGCAAAAATACCAAGCCCTCCTCATTTAGCCAATGAGGGGTAAAAGGGTTTGTGAAAAATTTGATCCTGAATTTAATGGAGGTGACAAAGTTAGAAATCAGCAAGATAATTTAGTTCCTTCAGCAACAGTACTTGTTTCATCCCTCCTTTGCTGAAACTCTATCCACACAACCATAACTTCAGAATTTAATGTAATTTGCCAACGGTCCTTCACTCATACCTTAAATTCTGAATTTGTAAAAATATGAAACCAATTTTCTATTATTCCTATCCCACTCATCTTGCACTACAGTACCTTACAGTTACCCAATTCATTAAAATAATTAGTTACCTCTTATACTCAATTTATTTCGTGGTAAAGAGGATGAGGACTATTTTGTCTGATGAGGAAAAAAAAAATCATAGTAGTAATAGGAAAATGGCAGAAAAATTTAATAATTATTTTCAGTATTAATCAGTTGGGTGCGAGAGCAGAAATAGCCAGTTTAAAAAGTGGAAAGTATTAAGTTAATCAAATTCCAAAACCCCTGGTTAAGATGGATTGCAACAGTATTTAAGCTCGAAGGGCAGTGATAGCAGAAGATGCCACTGATATCAAGAAACCGCTGAACCCTAACCCTATTGCAATGGATAAATGCACCTCTAGCCAAGCTGTTCCAGTGAGGTCACAAGACTGGCATCTCCCAATTACGTGTAAAATAGTCCTGCTTTTTGTGGACAATCTAATCCAGCAAATTATCATTCCTCAATCAAAGTGATACAACATGTTAACAGTGTCATTGAGTGGTAATTATTCAGTAATATTCTGCTCATCATTGCTCAGTTGAGGTTATATCACAACCACGCATCCCCACACCTCATTGCAGCCTTGGTCCACATGAACAAGAGAGCTGAACTCCAGAGGTGACAGGAGAGTGACTGCCTTTGACATGAAGTCAGCAATTGACCAAGTAAAGCATCGAAAAGCTCTGGCAGAACTGAATTAATTGGGAATTGTGGATTGGGGGTAGGGGAAGAAATTTTCCACTGATTGAAGTCACAGTAAATGTTTTAATCAATGTGTTTAGAGAAATTAAAACACCTCTGGAGAAAGTAGGACTTGAAGCTGGGCCTTCTAGCTCAGCGGTACTGCATCACAAGAACTCAAGCATGATTACAAGAGACATTCCAGCATTTGGGACAGTCAGAACAAAACTTCCTCAACTGCAATCCACTCCCTTAATAAGTAACTGAACTGCAGGTTTCTTTCCCTTAGTCAAATTTTTTATGCACATCAAGCCTTACCTTGAATCTCTACTCCTTTTAATCTCAGTAACAGTCCTTTTGTTTAAAAGAAAACTGATCAGAAAGTATTTGGAAGTCTAAGTACACCACATGATGATCCTTATGGTTTTTACTTGGGAGATCATTTTCAAGGAGATAGTCAACCAAGATCTTTCCTTCAGTTGACTTTCACTTACTGGAGAATTCAGGTAATGAACAAATTTGTTCTTGATAATTATTTTAGTAGATTTGGATGCAGGATTTAGGAATCTGTCATTGGTTGCATCCCTGGGAAGTGGTAAAGAGATGTGAAGAAGAAAACAAAACGGAAGATAGTAAAAGTTATTAATTAAATCTATTGCACGATAGAAACCCACCATTAAATTACTTTCTTGTTCATTTTCCATATGTGGCCTGTAGTAGAATATCAAAAGCCAAAGCAGCATCTCTGAGATATCATCTGCTGTCATCAATTGCTGTAGGGCAACATTGACCCAATCTCCAAACTGAACCAGTAAAAACCAGCTCTCAAATATATTTGCTGAAGTTCTGCAAAACAAGTCAGAAAAATTTAAAGTTTACACAATAAAGAACCGAAATCCAGTTTATTCCAATGAAACCAAATATCATACCATTTCACTGTCCTAGAGAAAACTCCTTTTTAAGGAGTCCCACGATTCCCCACAGCCCCCCTCCCCTCCCCATGCCCATCCTTGTGGAATTTGTATTAGTATTTTTGCAGCTATTAAATATGCTGGACAGCTGTGTTCATCTGCCATTCCTGTTGTCATCACTTAGTGATCTTGCAGGTCACCATTAATTCACTTGAACCATAGAATGCTGTAAACAGCTGTTTGCCTGGAACAGTTTGATGGGGTCTTATGTATTAAAACATCATTTTCACAAGATGATGCATGTGTAAAACTGAATTCCTACTAAAGAGTATATATAATTATGAAGGAATGGGGCTGTTGCCTGAGGTAGTTGAGGAGATTGAATTAAAAGACATGACTACAGATAAGCAACAGCAAATATATAAAAGAAATAACCTACAATTTGCAATGAATATACATGTCCTTGAGAAATAAACACTGGAATAAAACGGAGTAGTCATGACTGACTCGGTATTGCCATAGATTAAAAGCATTAGTAAACCTGAGGCAAAAACAGAAATTGCTGGAAAATCTCAGCAGGTCTAGCAAAACCTGTGGAGAAAAAACACAGTCAATGTTTGCAGTCCAGTGACTTTTCTTCAGAACTGAATAGCCAGGAAAAGTGGTAAATTTACTGAAGGGGATGGGGGTGGTGAGGGTAAAGGAATGAGTGAAGAGGTAGAGATGAAGCCTAAAGAGAGAGAGAAAGGGAAAAAGACAGGCAGACATAGGGATGGATAGTGGTAAGTTAGGGAGAAAGAAAAAGCTGATAATGGACACCATAAGTAGGGGAAAAAAGATTGTCTGTGCTGATAGCAGCCCATGTCATGTCAGGGCCTGGGGTGTGGGGGTAGGTAAAGGAACAAAGATGATGTTCAGGTTCTAAAATTATCGAATTTGATTATTGAATCCTGAAGGCTGTAAGTTCACGGAGGATTGGACCAAATTTAAAACACCAGGAAGAAATTCAAAAAGGCAGAGAAAATAGAATTATGTGCAAGCATCTGGGTGTCACTGGCAATAAGATTATGTTAAACAAGTATTTTTTATTTGGCTTTACAGTAGAGGACAAAAAGAACAGACTGCACATGATGCAGAACTAAGTGAGTGAGGTTTAAAACAAATGTACTTAAAATATTAATGGGATCAAAACCTGATAAGTCCCCCAGAACTCACGGTCTACACGCCTATGGTTTTTTTTTTAAATGGCTTCAGAGGGAGACAGAAAGAGGATGCAGTGATGTTGATCTTCCAAATGCAAACCTGCTATTCTAGAATTTGTGGTGAGGTGCCAGAAGATTGGAGGTTGGCTAATATGGTGCCATTATTTAAGAAAAGTGGCAAGGAAATGCCAGGGAACATTAGACTGGTAAGCCTGACATCAGAGGTGGGCAAGTTGTTAGAGGGGATCCTGAGGGGCAGGATTTACATGTATTTGGGATTAAGGATAGTCAACATGGATTCATGCGTGGGACACAGTGTCGCACTAACTTAATTGAGTTTTTTGAAGAAGCGACAAAGAGAATTGATGAAGACAGAGTGATGGACATTGTCTTTAATGGAGTCCAGTAAGCGTTCAACAAGGTTCCGTATGGTAGACTAGTTAACAAGGTTAGATCACAAGAAATACAGAGCGAACTAGCCATTTTGATACAAAATTGGCTTGAAGGTAGGAGACAGAGGGTGGTGGTGAGGATCGCTTTTCAGAGTGGAGGCCTGTGGCCAGTGGTATGCCACAAGGATCGGTGCTGGGTCCACTGCTTACTGTCATTTATGTAAATGATTTAGATGTGAATATAGGAGGTATGGTTAGTAAGTTTGCAGATGACACCAAAATTGGTGGCGTAGTGGACAGTGAAGAAAGCTACCTCAGAGTACAATGGGACCTGATAGGCCGAAGAGTGCCAGACGGAGTTTAATCTGGATAAATGCGAGGTGCTACATTTTGGTAGGGCAAATCTGGGCAGGACTTATACACTCAATGGTAAGGTCCTGAGAAGTGTTGCCAAACAAAGAGACCTTGAAGTGCAGGTTCATAGTTCCTTAAAAGTGGAGTTACAGTTGACAGGATAGTGAAGGCGGTATTTGGTATGCTAGCCTTTATTGATCAGTACATTGAATATAGGAGTTGGGAGGTTATGTTGCAGCCATACAGGACATTGGTTTGGCCAATTTTGGAATACTGCATTCAATTCTGGTCTCCCTGCTATAGGAAAGATGTTGTTAAACTTGAAAGGGTTCAGAAAAAAATTACAAGGATGTTGCCAGGGTTGGAGGGTTTGGGCTATAAAGGAGAGGCTGAATAGTCTGGGGCTATTTTCCCTGGAGCATTGTAGGCTGACAGGTGACCTTATAGAGGTTTATGAAATCATGAGGGACATGGATAGGGTGATTAGTCAAGGTCTTTTCCCTGGGGTATTGGAGTCCATAACTAGACGGCATGGGTTTAAGGTGAGAGAGAAAAGATTTAAAAAGGGACCTAAGGAGCAACTTATTCAAACAGATGGTGGTGCATGTTGGAATGAATTGCCAGAGGAAGTGGTGGAGGCTAGTATAATTACAACATTTAAAAGGCATCTGCACGGGTATATGAATAGGAGGGGTTTAGAGGGATATTAGCCAAATGCTGGCAAATGGGCCTAGATGAATTTAGGATATTTGGTCGGCATGAACGAGTTGGACAAAAGGGACTGTTTCTGTGCTGTACATCTCTATGACTCTGAGTCTTATATTCAAGGAGGAGTCTGCAAAAAGATACACACAGTTTAAATGAATGGGCAAAAAGATCTTGAATTTTGAGGAGGAAATGCTTAAACTTAATTTAACTTAAGGATAGAAAACAAATGTTTTAAGTTGTGAGAAACTCCTAAATGTTACCATTGAGGCAATTGAGTACCCTTGAACATGAAACACAATTAATGTACAGATACAGCAAGTATTTATGAAGAAAGATGATACACTGGCTTTGATGGCAAGGGGATTACCATTTAAGAGTTCTGGACTGGACTGCACCTGGAATAACCTATACAGTTTTATACATAGCTAAGGGAGGATATTCTTGCCTTAATGGAGATACAACAAAGGTTCATTCGATTGATTCCTAGGATGATGGGGTTGAGGATAAATTGAACAGAATTTCTTTAGAGGTTTAAGAACAGAGTATATGTTCCACATGCAAATATGACAATTACGATCCAACTGTACATGCGCAGTTACATGTGACGATAATGGTCCAAGTTACAATTTTGTACTCCGGTTTATCCAGGTACTATATGTTTAAAGTTAACGTAATTCAGAAGAATAAAGATTCTGTGACATATTTTGGCTTTTCTGTATCTGTGAAAAACAAAGCAACTAAACTGAAGATATCGCCTGACTTCTATGAGGCAGATGAAAGAAGGCCAAAGTCACACACCTAGTGTATTTTTCAAGAGAAGGTTAGAAAATAAAATCACAATTTTCTGAAGTTTCAATCTTGGTGTGAGATTTCCTGGTTTCAAAAAAAAGACATTTCAACATTCTACCTGGCATTAATATTGCCCATAAATATACCCTTGTAAGAATGAGAACCAGTCTCATTGATGCTTAAAATTCTTACAGGGCCTGACAAGTTAGACGCTGAAAGACTGTTTTCCCTAGCTGGAGAGCTTAGATACAGCTGTCATCGTCTCATGATAAAACGGCATCTATTTAGGCCTGGATACTCTGAAAAAGTGTAACTTTTATGTTGACTTTGGGAATAGCAGGGCTTGATTTCCAGAGTGCTACCCTAGTGAGGGATGACAGGTATCCTTACATGCACAGTACTGGGATCAGATTGACTTTTGTCCAGTAAAGGGATTGTCATATGCACAACTTCTAAAACAAACTGTACTCAGTGGAATTTTCAGGAAGTGACCCTTCTAAAAAAACACGACAGTAAAACACTTCAAAAGGTGGCTACAGGAGGTCATCTGGTTCAGTCTGTGGCTTCAAAAACTGATACACTTAATGCAAAAAATTCATATTCCAGGTTACAGGGTGTCACTACCCTTTCCTGAAACCGTCCAAAAAAATAGGTGTTTCCTGACTTGACTGAGTCATTCTGAAACCAAGATGATGATTGCCTCAAAGCCTCAGGGCAGATTTTCTGCAAACAACAATTCAAGTTGTGGCTAATCAGCTTAGACCAGCAATATTTGGAAAAGGCAACTGTGAGAAATCACATGATAACATGTTGGGTTCTTTTTTTAACCTTACATAAGAAAATAAGAAATAGGAGCAGGAGTAGGCCATCTGGCCCATCGAGCCTGCTCTGCCATTCAAAAGAACATGGCTGATCTTTTCATGGACTCAGCTCCACTTACCCACCTGCTCACCATAACCTTTAATTCCTTTATTGTTCAAAAATCTACCTTTGCCTTAAAAACATTCAAACAAAGTAGCCTCTACTGCTTTACTGGGCAGGGAATTCCACAGATTCACAACCCTTTGGATGATGAAGTTCCTCCTCAACTCAGTCCTTATTTTGAGGCTATGCCCCCTACTTCTAGTTTCACCTGCCAGTTTCTAGTTTTTAAATGTAGTCTGCCAATAAACACTGAAACAGCTGAAAGGGCAGTTACCATGTATGCTTTAACGACTGGACAATGCAACATCAAGAGGTTTCCAAGCCTATTTCTGCTCAAGTCCACCAGTACAGAAAACTAACTTCCTGGCAACAAGACTACAAATAACTAACTTTGTGACCTGCAAAGTTCAGCACAATGGGTTCTGGTACAAGACTGACTATGGAATACATCCACTACACTTTAGGAGTGTAAATATCTTTTTCAGCAGACCTGCCTGCACTATGTATTTTCCAAGACAAGCCAATGACATTAATTAGAAATTAATTTTTTGTTTATGACTTATAAAAGTGGACTATCCTTTTTAACTCTATTTTCCTCAATTGTGTATGCTTGAGTGACCGCATGAATGAGTGGCATAGGTTAGATTTTTGGTGCGAACATTCTGGCTATTCAAATTGTCCACACTCATGGGTTAAGAAACACACATTTCTTCCTTTTCAAAAACATACTGATTATGGACAGCAGAAAAGGGAGCAGGATTTCAGCAGTAATTGCTCACATTGCTCATAACACTGATGAAGGCTGAATCATGTAGCTAAAAAGGATCAAATTCTGTGGTACAATAACATTTCACAATAAATTTTCCAGGAAAAAGACAAAAAATACAAAACATTTCCATTAAGGTCTTAAATCACAGCCTGAAGTAGTTCACACATCACAGCTAAGCGAAAGGTTAAAGAAGTGTCTTTTTAATGAAGCAAACACAGCCCATAAAACACCAGAGTATTATTGCAACAGAGGTAACTGTTGACACAAGATAAATGTTCACAGACAATAAAGATCTTTTCGGCCAATTCAAAGCTAGAAAATGTTTCCAAAGATCTCATTTGCTGAAAATAATTTTATGGCAAAGCTAAAAGCTCACCGTGTATCTTCTTTATCCTGTAAATTCCTCTTCAAAATTTGAATAATACTTATTAGGTGCTGAGACCAGGCAGCTGATGGCATGTCTGAAAAGAAAAAAGAGTGGTTAAATCTAACATAATAAAACCACGGATCAATGCAACTTTTCAAACAGAGTAGAAGAATATCCCAGAATGCCTTAGAGAATAAGGGGTGATTGACTGAACAGAAAAGATGAGTTAATAGTCCAGGAAGCATAAATGAAAAGAGCATTTTTTGACGGAAGTGCTTGCAAGGCATGATTGGTTGAGAGATGTCACTAATTAAGACAAAATACTGAAACACGATGATTCAGAGTTAGAGAAATGAATGGCTTGAGCTGAGACAACTTACAATTATATAGCATCTTTAATATCAAACAATATTCAATACAGAATCTCCATAAGGAAGTATTTGGATGGATGCCCAAAGTCTGGTTATTGAGGTACATTTTGGGAAGCACCTTATGGAGGGAGAGGTAAAGAGACGAAGGAGTTTAAAAGGAGCGAATTCTGGAGCTTAGAATCCCTGGAAGCTGATGGCACCACTGAAAATGCTGGAGTGCTGAAAATTGGGACAGGAAGAAGCCAGAATTGGAAAGCAGAGAGATCTCAGAGCGAGTAGGCTAGGAAAGGTTAGAAACAGAGGGAGGAGCGAGGCCTTTACTTGGAATGAAACAAAATTGTTCGAGCTATTTTCCCTGGAGTGTCTGAGGGCAAGGGGTTACCTTATAGAGGTTTATAAAATCATGAGGGACATGAATAGGGTGAACAGTCAAGGTCTTTTCCTCAAGGTAGGGTGTCCAAAACTGGACTGCATAGGATCAAACTGAGAGGGGAAAGATTTAAAAGGAACCCAAGGGGCAACATTTTTATACAGAGGGTAGTGTATGTTTGGAAAGAACTGCCAGAGGAAGTGGTGGAAGCTGGTACCATTACAAAATTTAAAAGGCATCTAGATGGGAAGATATGAATAGGAAGAGCTGAGGGGGATATTGGCCAAATGCTGGCAAATGGGACGAGATTAATTTAGAATATCTGCTTATCATGGACGAGTTGGACTGAAGGGTCTGTTTCCAAGCTGTACATCTCTATGACTCTAAGCAAATGAAATGTAAAGTTGGATGACAATTACTTGCTCAAAGATCTTGCAAAAAGAAAGGAGGTTAGGAATAATTGGTAATTTGAGTAGAGAGATACTGAAGCTAACATTTTTAGGGAGAGACATGGCGATGGTACTTTTGAGAACATGGCTGGATAGGCATTTACATAGCCAAGTGTGTAGGTTGTACCGAGTTTGCAAGATTGCTAAGAGAGCAAGTGGCAAATTTCTTTAAACAAATTTTTTTGAGTGTTTGGACAATGAGAAAAAGAGCAGAAACTGTTAATGTAAGGATAACAGGCTGAGCTGGGTGAAGGGAAGGCGCAGGTGCTATCAATGACGGAGTTAGTATGTTAGGTCCAAAAAAAACTGCCCATAAAAGTTTCTTATATTTCAAATGCAGACAACTCAAGAAAAGTCTAAGGAGAAAGTGGCAGGTGTAGAAGTAGTAGTTAGGTTTTCTGAATGGTTTTGCCTTCTATTATGACCCTAGAGGTTTGGATTTAACGATCAAGTTTGAGTAGTTATTTAATATGGATAACTGGTATGACAGATTTGCTAGAGGACAATGTGACAATGTGTCCACATTTTCAAAAGACTGTAGCCCACAAGTTCAAAACCAGAGCAAAGTGGGATGGTATAGGATCTGATGACAAACACTGGTGGAGATGATCAATTCATCAATGGTGGAGGTGAAGCACCTGAGGAACATATTGATGTAAACTTTGACATTCACACAAATGTCACAGCAGCGCTGGGGAGAAGGAAATTTGGTGTCCACCAGTAAATAATTTGGTGAACAGTTTTTCTGGAGAAGAGATTGATTTTTTTTTTGGAGAGGCAAGGATATATGAATGAGGGAAGGAATAAAAATGTGTTGGGAAGTGGCCTTATAAATAAGTGAAGTGGTGAGGCACTGAGAGATTGAATGGTTGGAAGCTAAATACACATAAGTTAAAGGTGGAGAAACTAAATCGATGGAAGAGAGGACTAATAAATTGCAATGGGCAAGGAGAGATCATGCATAGATTAAAATTTTCCATGCTGAGGAGCCAATCACCATATCTGACTAAGAAGATGAGTGACCTTCTCAACTGAAATCTCCTAATGATTTAGAGTGAAGTAACTAGTTATTCTCCAAATGATTTTTCCTCCCTCCTCATGATTTGCTGGTTACTTACCACCTTCCCATGTAGGTACAGTTGTGGTTTTTATCTCCCAATATAAGAGGGAACTTTGGTGTAGTTCATCACTTCCATATTTGTGTGCTAAAGCATTGCATGCTTAAAATGTACAATTTAACTTGTGCAATGTGGTTAGCTGTCCTCCAAAATGGCCTATCAAGCCAATCAATCAGTTGTATCAAAACTGCCAATGTAAAAAAAATATAAAATTGGACAGATCAGTCAGCATCGACCTAGGCACCAGAAGTGATAACACCAGTCCCAGTCCTATCAACCCTGCAATGTCCACCTTATAAACATCTGGGAACTTGTGCCAAAATTGGGAGAGCTGTCTCTCAGGCTAGTCAAGCAACAGCCTGATATTGTCTGCAAATGATTCTAGGAGTATGACTACCATCCATGAGTATGTCCTGCCCCACTGGAGGTCACAGTGCAGTGGTATACAGATGGGATGAATATATACAATGACACAAACCGCTCAATCGCCCACAACAAAAGCAAACAGAAAATCTTGAACCAATTACATTAAATAACATATCAGATCTAAACTGTGAAGTCCTGCCACATGATAGAGGACAGTTAAACAATTAACAAGAATGGGTGGTTACACAGATATACCCATCTCTAATAATGGAGGTAACCAATATATCGGTGCAAAAGGGAAGGCTGAAATATTTGCAAGCACATTCTGCTAGAAGTGCTAAGTGGAGGCTCCATCTCAGTCTCCTTCTGTGATCCCTAGAATCACAGATACCAGTCTTCAATCAATTTGATTCGCTCCATGATTATATAAAGAAATGGCTGAAGGCACTGACCACTACAAATATAGGCTTTGACAAAATTCTAGCAAAAGCTTGTGCTATACAGAACTAGCCACACCCTTAGCAAAGCTGTTCTACAGCTACAACAGTGATATCAGCTTGACAATGTAGAAAATTGCCCAGAATGTCCTGTACACAAAAAAGCAAACAAATCCAACCCAGCCAACTGCCTTCACTGTCTGCTGTTGATCATCAGCAAATGATGGAAGAGGTTGTCAACAGTGCTATCGAGTAACGCTTGTTCAGAAACAAAGTGGTCGCTGATCCTTAGTTTGAGTTCTGCAAGGACCACTTAGCTCCTGACTTCATTACAATCTTGGTTCAAACTTGAGGTGATGTGAGGTGAGGTGAATGTGACTGCCCTTGACATCAAAGCAGCATTTGTTCATCATGTCATTGAGAACCCTAACAAAAGAGGAATCAAATTAGAATTGGGGAGAAATCATCCACTGATTGGACTCATACACAGCCCAAAAGAAAATGATTGTAGCTGATGAACGTTAATCATCTCTGCAGGAATTCCACAGCGTAGTATCCTAGGAACAAACGTCTTCAGCTCTTTTATTCATGACCTTCCCTCTATCATAAGGTGAGCAGCAGAGATGTTCACTGATAACTGTACAAGATTTAGCATGATTTGCAATTCCTCAGATATTTAAGCAGTTCATGCCCATGTGCAGCAAGACATGGGCAACTGCCAGGTTTGGGTTGATGAGTACAAATAAAATTTCTGCTACAAGTGAGACAACAAGGCTTAGAGCTGGATGAACACAGCAGGCCAAGCAGCATCATAGGAGCAGGAAGGCTGACGTTTCGGGCCTAGACTGCTACAAGTGCTCATCAAAAACCATCCTTAACAAGAAATAATCTAATCATCATAGGATGGTAAAGAAGGCGTATGGCATGCTTGGTTGGGGAATTGAGTGCAAGAGTCAGGATGCTATGTTGCAGCTTTATAGAGACTTTGGTTAGGCCACACTTAGAGTATTGTGTTCACTTCTGATTCCCACATTACAGGAAGGATGTGGAGGTTTTGGAGAGGGTGCAGAAGGGATTTACCAGGACGCTGCCTGAATTAGAGGGTATGAGCTACAAGGAGAGGCTAGAAAAACTTGAGTTGTTTTCTCTGGAGCGGTTGAGGCTGAAGGGAGACTTGATAGAAGTCTAAAAATTATGAGATGTACTGATATGGTTGACGGTCAGAATCTTTTGCCCAGAGTTGAAATGTCTAAAACTAGGGGACATGCATTTAGGGTGACAGGGGGAAAGTTTTAAGGAGATGTGAGGAGCAAGTTTTTTTTAGAAAGAGTGTGATTAGGAGTCTGGAACACGCTGCCTAGGGTGGTGGTGGAGGCAGATACAATAGGTGTTTTATAAAAGATGCCACAAAGAAGGTTACTATAGGTGAGAAGAGCTGTTGGTGATGGGAGTTATTAACTTGCATTCTTCAGTTAATTACCACCAGGCTCACAGTCATGATATCTGGATGACTCTTATAATATTGCATCAAACTGTCTCAGCAATTTAATTCATTTTATATTGACTTAATTTAATTTGGCATCATGTTCGGCACACCATTCCTGTGCTGTATTGTTCTTTATTCTAACCACCCCTGGTGTTCAATGCATTACCATCATGAATCCCCCACTATCAACATCCTGGGCACAAACATTGACCAGAAACTGAACTTGGCCAGCCACGTAAATTCTGTGTCTACGTGTACATGTCAGAGGCTAGGAATTTTGTGTTGAGTAATATATCTCCTGTCTACGCAATGCTTGTCCACCATAGGCACAATTCAGGAGTGTGATGGAGTACTCCCCACGTGCCTGGATGGATGCAGCATCAACAACATTCAAGAAGCCTGACAGCATCCAGGACAAAGCAGCCCACTTGATTGGCAATATATCCACAAGCATTCACTTCCTCTACTACCGTCGCTCAATAGCAGCAGTGTATACA